GCCCCGGGGACAAGGCTGCCAAAGCACGCATTTAATTAGGAGAGTTACGCAACATCCTACCAGAGAGCTGGCAGGATACAGGGCAAAAGAAATACAATTAAAAAGTCGCCGCCGGTGGCTCCCCACACAGGCGCGCCCCGGTCTGCTCCTGGCGGTGTGGCCCCACGTGTCATGGTGACTCTCGGCCCCGCCTGGCGGTTCGCGCTTCCTGCAGGGCTGTCGGTTTTATGGGGCGCAGGGTGCTGGCATAGGGGCCCTGTCCTCCTCCGGGAGCTGCCCACCCAGCGGCCCTGCTGAGTGCAGGGGAGGGTGGCTCCGCACCAGGCTGCCCTCCAGGAGAGCAGGGAGGCGGGCACCGTGTTTCATTCAAAGGCACAGAGTGAGCCCGGCCGGCGTGGCTCAGTGGTTGAGCGTGGACCTAGGAACCAGGAGGTCACGGTTAGATTCCCGGTCAGGGCACAGGCCCGGGTTGTGGGCTCCATCCCCAGTGTGGGGCGTGCAGGAGGCAGCCATCCATGATTCTCTCTCATCGTTGATGTTTCTCCCTCTCCCTCTCCCTTCCTCTCTGAGATCAATAAGAAATATATTAACAAACAAACAAACCAGCCCATTGGAGAGGCCCCAACGCTGATGGGGCTGCCCGTCTCCCTCTCCCTCTCCCTTCCTCTCTGAGATCAATAATAAATATATTAACAAACAAACAAACAAACAAACCCATTGGAGAGGCCCCAACGCTGACGGGGCTGCCCACTGTGGAGCCAGCCGAGCGGGCATTGATCAGGGTGACCCCAGGCCTGAGCCCTTCCTCCCGTGACCTCAGCTCCAGGCACCGCCCAGACACGCAGTGTCCCGGCGCCAGGCTTGCGTCCCTGACCTGGAAGGGATGCGACCCCGGAGGGAGCACTAGGGAGGCTGCCAGTGCTGGCGGCTCCTGCACCGCCCAGACACGCAGTGTCCCGGCGCCAGGCTTGTGTCCCTGACCTGGAAGGGGATGTGACCCCGGAGGGAGCACTAGGGAGGCTGCGAGTGATGGCGGCTCCTGGGGGCCGAGCCTCTCGGGGTACACGGGGTTGTGGCTGGTGGGATTCACCGAGCCTTTGGGTGTTTGTGGTGCGGCAACCGGTGCGGGAAGCGGCTGCTGCTCACTTGCGGGGAATGAATAATTTATCTGTTTTCAGAGACATCCCTTCATCCCAGACGGGCAGCTGGGCTCCGCG